GACAATGGAACATGGACATAAACATGGGCCCAAGCGCAGGAGAAGGCACAGGCGTGGCCACAAGCATGCCAATTGTCACAAGAAGGAAGGACTGCACGGGTAAGATTCCAACAGTGTTCAGTTCATTCACAAACAGAAAGGTACATTTGGTTCAGAACTCTGAGAAGCATTTTAAAAAGGTTTGTGCAATCCAACCCAATGAAAACTGAGCACATGATACACTGTTATGGATGTAAATAAATGGGGTTTTTTAGGTTATTCATCCAGGGGTAGAACAGTGTTATAAATGCACTTGTGCAGGAACACCATGGCTCCGCTCCCACACAGGTACACACCCATCAGACTGGATATGCTTGTTAGAGCAGTCAGGGGCTTAGTTGTCTCAAAAAGGGCGATGGGCAACCCACTGCTCTTATCCTTCCCTGACCTGATTTGTCCTTCTCTGCTTGAAAACTCAAAATTGATTTATAAGAATCAAATTAATATGATTCTTTTGGTGAGAATTGTAATGATGAGCTGTCTTCACTGAATAACTTGTTTGTTTTTGTCTTCCCAGGTCCTCCAGCAGGCTCCTGCAGCAGCGACTCTGACTGATGAATACAAGTTACCACCTGGAAGCATTAAAATCATGTGATATCTTCATCTAAACGATGTAAAATTGAGGGAGTTTTCACTGCCGTTGGTTTGCCTTGCAATGAATTACTAATCAATAAACATAAGATGAAAACTAGGTGAACTGCTTTTCAATAAATGTTGTTCATGCTCACTGCATGCTACATTAAGTGATTGTTTGCTGCCCATCTTTCAAAATGATTGCTGCCGCCATGCCACAGTGGTCATGTCAATATGAGCACACCAGATGGCGTCAATGAAAGACATTTTCAAAATTTTTACATAGTGGCCTTATAACAATGGCTGTAAGAAAACACATATTTATGGTGGTAGGGATGTCCCAATGATTGTAAAACTTTAAAAAAACCTAAATAATTGGATTATTAAACAGTTGATTTAAAAAAATACAATACACAATTTCCAATCTATTGATAGTATGAGTTTGCCCAGTATTTCTTGTCACTTGGTCGTCTGCGTGCCACCTGGTCGGAACAAAAACATAAATCAATTTTGTGATAAATTGTTATAAAATAGTAACAAAATCTTGAGTGGCCTGTTCACACAGCACACAAAAATGTTGTTGGAGTTTTGAGGCTCTGGCCCTGATGACTTCCTATAAAAGGCAGACAAGTTCACTGCCTGAAGTGTGTGGCATCTGCTCTCTCAGCTGCTCAGTCACTACAACAGTATCTGGGTATAATAACCATAAAGTGTGGTGTGTGTGGTGCGTGTGTGAGAGAGAGAGAGAGAGAGAGAGACGAGAGCGAGAGAGGAGAAAGAGAGAGAGACGAGGAGAGAGATGAGAGAGGAGGAGAGAGAGAGATGCCCATCGTGATCTTTATCAGTAAGGGACAAACCCACTGATGTCTTATTTTTCTATATTTATTTATTTTTGTTAAGACGGGCATTTCTGTGTAATTAAGTTAACTTTGATTCAAGGTTTTGCATCCGATCTTGAAATTCTGCAAATGGCACGGGAATAACAGACGGTAAAGTCTACATTAACCTTTATTAAACCTCCCTTCCTTCCTTGGTGTCAAACTTTCGTTACTGAATTTTAGGAAACAAAAATGGTGGTGTAAATCTGTATAATAAACTTTTTCAACTAGGAAACCAGTATCCCTTTGGCTGGTGTCCTCAGCCAATGCCAGGAGGATGTCCACCAGGCCCTGTCGCACCCCAATCCTGCCCTCCTCAGCCCTGTGGTCCACCTGTGTACTATCCTGTAGCACCACCTTGTGGTTTTGGGTATGGACCTAGCCAGGGTCCTGGGTATGGACACGGTCATGGCCCTGGGCATGGACATGGACATCATGGACATGGACATCATGGACATGGACATCATGGATCATGGACATCATGAACCATGGACATCATGGACATGCACATCATGGACATGGACATCATGGACATGGCCATGGCCACAAGCACAAGCATGGTCACATTCATGGCCATTGTCACAAAAAAGGAGGGAAATATCACGGGGTAAGATACAGTTGATTTATTGATGAATGTAAAGTGTAACTCATCAATGTAACAAAGTAAATACTGTACCACAGTCCACTGACAATAAGTAACAACCAATTTCACTTGTGCAATAATTAAAAAATGTTTAAATACAATTAGAAACCGTTTATTCACATTCAGTCTTCATGCAATAAATCCGACAATAAATCACAACCTTTACAGAGGTTCAGTTTCTGTTGTATTAAAAAAAGATTTACGTCCAACACCACACAATTTTTGTGAAACTTTAACAATGGTATTCTGTTTAGCTTCAACTGAGCATTTTATCATCTTTTAGCTCATTGTTTTGGTTTTCTGGAAATGTTTCTGTTTTAATTCAGTATCATAGCAACACTTTTGGCTACAGTAGGCAGCTGGTTTCAGTAAAAAAAAAAAAAAGCTCAACAAACCAACTATACACTACCTGCTTAGTACCAAACAGCAGACAGACAAAGTTAGCAGCTCCTATAGCTGGTGAACACTGTGAACGTCATTCAAAGATTAAGGAAATTAAATTCATTATTGACACTTCAATTCCACTTCCACTTATTTCATTAAATTATGAAATCCTAACCTAATTAATTGACTGACTGACACGTCATCACTAAATGAAATAACAATGTTTGTCTCTGCTGTCGTCCTCCAGCAGCTCCTGCAGCAGCGACTCGGACTTGATGAAGATGTCTGAGAGAAACAAGCTGCCACCTGCAAACCTTCATCCTGCTTCCTTCTATGATGATAATCAGCTTGTTTGATCCCCTACATTTTAAAGTCTTTCTTTTAAAGGTTGTGTTTTGTTTGCTTGTGTTTAAATCAAATATTGGGTTAATACATTCTAATTAAAAGTCAGGTTTAACTGTGACAAAGCCTACTTTATTACCGTGTATGAAGTGTTGAGCCAACACATTTTAAAGTGAAAAGACCTAAACACTTGTAACAGCTCTATGTGTGACATAGTGTATGCTTTTGATTGACACTGATCATTATTGTTCCCTTGTGTTTAACAACATAAACCTGCCTTCTGTTTATCATAACAGCACATGATCTCTGCAGTGCCTGGCCTCTGTGTGTGTGACCTATCAGTGTGTATTTATATTATCTTTATTTACCCAGGGAGTGTTGAATTAAGACCTTTGTTCAGCTCTACCACAAAGCTGCTCTGCTCCTGAAATATATCTACCAATGCTTATTTGTTAGCATCTAACCCGACAAACGATGCTTGAAAACAGAAATAAATCCAACTGAACGATTAAAGATGTGAAAAACAAATGTAATCATTAATGCATTAACAAAATAATATATAAGGAAAAACATTCAGAAGTAGTAGCCTGTTGTGAATACGTTTGTATAGACATGTTACAAACTGCGAGGCCATAAGCTAATACTATTTGCTTGGGGGCCATGGCTTGGAAACGTCTGGGAACCCCTGAGCTATGCTGATTATTTTGGATACACAATACAACAACAATAAGTTCACAGCCAAGGGTTGACAATGACTTTTTTGGGAGTGAGAAGAGATGTTTTCTCGCTGCTGTTTCCTGTTATTTGGATGCATTTCAGTCAATGAAAGTGATTTATTTAATGGTGCCCCCTTGCTATAAGCCTCATGCCCCCCTTGGCTATTTGTTCTACTCCCAACACTGTCTCTACTAGTGTCAAGTCTGGTCTCAGACTCAAGTCTACTAGTCCAACTTTTTTGAAGTAAAAAGCATTCTTGTTTTTCTGTCTCTCTCATGTGGACTCAATCTTGAATTGGACTTGACTCAGACTAGATTAGTCCTGGTCTTGGACTTTTCTTGGACCCGACAAAGGTGGTCTTAATTACAGGACTCTTTTTGGGATGTCTGCATGGCCGCAATGTGAGCACACCTTTAGTAATTGTTGCTATACGGACTAAAATTATAGGTAATAGGTTATCAGAATACATAAAATGATTGATAACACAGTTTCCAAACAAGGTATTCTGTGTTACACCCATTCTCTTCTTTCGATAGATCATCCATATACTCATGAACAAAATAGGAGGCAGAGCTCCACCTTGGCAAACACCATTATTTACATTAACGGGGCAGATTCAGCAGTAAGGCTGGGTAGTCTGGTGCCTTTTTGTGTAAATGTAAAGAAAGGAGAACTATGTAAACAAATAAATAACAAAGCGAACAAAAAAGAAGTGTAAAAACATTTTAAAAAAGATACGTTGTAAACCAGATTTGTATGTGTATCCGTATCTTAGACTGGTCCATATTGACTGCATGTTAAAGATTATACACACACACCCATTTAGGTCACAAAGCAAAACATGTTCTGGTGGGAGTTCAGGCTCTGCCCACAATGATGTGAAGTGGATTGTGCATAAAAAGCAGCAGCAGGTGACGGCTGCATCCGTGGATCTGCTCTCCAGCACTCAGTAAGTTCACCGCTTGCTGACGTTTATGATACACGTGATTGGAAATATTAAAAGATAAACTGTGTTGGCATGCTTTTCTTTTCCCACTTTCAGGATCTGTAGTTTCATTTGAAGATTTAAAATGTTCGGACACAACCAAGGTAAATAACACAACCTCTTTCAGATATAACTCATGTGCATTGTATACTAGATAATCACTTTTAATAGGTATTAACTTCTCTTTTCTCCTCATGTTTAGGAAACCAGTACCCTCCTGGTTACCCGAACCATCCTCAGCAGATGCCAGGGGGATACCCTCAGGGTCCTCCAGGTGCCTTCCCACCAAACTACCCTCCTCAGCCCCACGGTCCACATGGAGGCCCCCAAGGACACGGACCTGGACCTGGTTATGGCCCAGGACCTGGTTATGGCCCAGGATATGGACAGGGACAGGGCCACGAGCAGTGCCATGGACAGGGCCATGGACAGGGTCATGGACAGGGCCACGAGCAGTGCCATGGACAGGGCCATGGACAGGGTCATGGACAGGGTCATGGACAGGGCCACGGGCAGTGCCATGGACAGGGTCATGGACAGGGTCATGGACCGGGTCATGGACAGGGCCACGGGCAATGCCATGGGAAGGGCCACGGACATGGGCACAAGCACAAGCACAAGCATGGTCACAAACACGGCAATTGTCACAAGAAAGGGAAGGACTGTCACGGGGTAAGATTCAGAAAGTTTCTCTAATATGATGCAATTTATGTTTGTTCCAGAAATTAGATTTTGTTCATAATTCAAACCTTGAAATAAAGAACATAAAACAGCAATACAACCTACATTGATGTAGCTATAATTCAAACTTTACTTTGATTGAAGTGATTCATTAATGTCTGATCTGTTTTTTGCTGTAGTCCTCCAGCAGCTCCTGCAGCAGCGACTCTGACTAGATGAAGATTCCTGGATGGGAAGAGTTGGCATCTGGAAACCTTTTTCCTCCTAACATATATTAAAATCAATATTTTACCGCCTAAATGTTTCTTCACATTTAATCTGTGTTAATTTAAAATGTATTTGCATCATTGATACAAATACATTTTTCTACGTTCTGTATGAAAATCAACATTTGGCATGTACATCAAGATATATGTATGTATAAGCTTTTCTTAACATTTCATAATTCTTTGGTGTACAGTGACAGACATTGTTGTATCCACGATTGTGTTTGTGAGAAAAAAAAGTTCTGTTCATGATAAATGCTACTAAACAACACAATGTCTGGCTTTTTTTGTTTTATTTTGTGTCCATGGTTGTTCATTCACTCATTTGCTACTTTGGCTAATATAACCAAGGTGTGCTCTGTATTTGCCCAGGGAAGGTTGACTGAGCACTCAGCCACACCTTGGTCACTGCAGTACATCACACCCTGGAACTGCTGGTGCTGTCACCCTAATCTTATTTTGATAGCCTGTGTAATCAAACACTTGTTCATGTTGAAATTCAACCTTTTACAAGTTCACTAATCTCTGAGGGCCATTATTTCTTGTCCTTGTGTTAAATGTACAGCAGTCAGTGGTGGAAGATGATCCAGATAATGTACAAACTAAAATAGTAATACTTCAATGAAAATTCAGTTGTTGTACTAGGAAAAGTTAATAATAAATAAAAAAAAATAAGAATAAAAGTAACAATCGAAACTACACAAGAGCAATTAAAGTCAAAATTACAAAGCAAGAGTGACAGTGATGTGATCAGAAGCAGCAAAGTCTATGTAAACAGCATACACTTGACTAATGTATAACATGATTAAGTAATGATACTTACTATTATAGAAACATATAATGTTATAAACAGTGTAACATATTAACATCATAGATTATAGTATAAAATTAGTACAATATATTCGGATATTAGATATAAGATAACTTATATATGGTAAAATGTATTTATTTATTTATTTTGCACAAATTAGAATTACATTAAAAAAACGACAAAGATAANNGAAAACCCAGATGGGCTTATTTAAAGCCTCCACCTAAAATTTCATAGTTATAAGGAACAGAAAATTGACATACAAAGAATACTGTAACTACATAAAGTAAAAACAAAAAAAATGTATAACATCAACAACAAGTTATAATGACTATATAACAATATGGAAACAATATGAAAACAAAAATATGAACATGTATAACGTGTGTTTGTGTGTGATTAGAATCTTTAAAACAGCGATTAAATGGATTTTTTGAAACATTTTATAGAGATGGGGAGTTTTTTGCCAGATGGGAACAAGGTATTCCAAATTTCGGTTACCCTATTTAACAGTAAATTGACCTCTGCACGTATAAAATCTTGGGGGATGATGATCTAAAGATTGTCGCGTTGGATAGAGTGGAGTCTGAGAATTAAATTAAAAATAAGCTTAAAGTTGCTCTGGAAAGTTTTCATGATTGAATATCCTTATAAATAAAAACACATATTTGAGAGATATTGATGTCATGAACAGTAAGTATCTCAATATAACTGAGAATATAAAACATAATACATGAGAGTAATATATAATAAATAATAAACACAGCATTATATATAATAAAATATACAAATTAGTGGACAGAAACTATCAAATGGTGAAATAAACGTGTTATAATATTAAGAACGTGAGGAGCGGCAGTACCGCCTCTAAACACCAGGGGGCAGTGTGGCGCGTACGTCCACCGTGACGTCACCACGTCGACCAATCAGAGGAATCTTTCCCGGAAGGAAACGCAGCAACTCCAGAGCCAGCTGTGTCAGACAAAGTCAAAATAATAATAATATATATTTATAAATATAATGTCTTTAACCGTTTTGACCTCTGCGTACAGGTACGATGCGACTGGCGGGTTTTTATTCATATGTGCAATAACGTTGTGATGGTACACAGGTGATCTTACTTATCGATAATAACTATTATAATGTCGATTCTAACTCGAACTTGAGCCAATACAACAGATTAATCAGTTCATTCATTCTGAGTCTGTGCAATCAAGTGTTATTAGACTCTAGATGAGTCCTGTGTTGTGTTATATTCTCTCTTTCCATGCTGTTCGTGCAGACTGAGGTCTCTCTGCAGACTGCAGCGGATCCAGGGCCACATGGTGAGCAAGCCCCCTCTCATGTTCCTCCAGTAATAATGGATAGTGAGCAGACCAGTGTGCAACACAACAGCTTTGTGCCTTTTTTATTTGTTTTAATAGGCTCACTAAAAAAAATGCACATTCAAAACAAAGTGTTTACAACATGTCAAGCTTGGTGCAAATGCCAGTTGCATTAAATTCAAACTAAACTAACTTTAAGACTTAGACAGACTTTATTTGTCATTTGGATTTGCATCAAAATTAAATTACGTTACAAAGACACATAGCACAACAAGTATGTACAGTCAAAAAAATAGATATGTAGATAGAAAAGAAAAAGAAGAGAATAGAAAACCCCCGTAGATAATATATATTGCACAGTTTTAGTTGCCTATGTAAAAGAACTTTTGTATATAACACAAATAAAGTAAAGTTAGGTTTAAGAGTATCAGCTGTCTGCTCTCATGTTTTAATTGACTTTTTAATAATTAGGGCAGTTTCTCAGATTTGATTCTGGAGTTTTATCCAGCAGTTTATATTGTTTTACTCTGATGTAACAGCGTTTCACTACAGTGCAGGTCAGTCAGGTGACAATGTCTAATAGTGCTCGACCGATATGGCATTTTCAATATGCCGATATTTAAAGAGCAGGGTTGCCGATGGCAGATATATAATGCCGATATCAAATCAAATATTCTATTTTATAGGAATATCAGGCGTTATGTTTACAGCAGGATGCATTAGAGTTATAGTGCAGGGCTCGAAACTAACCTTTTCTCCACCTTCTCAAAACTCACGAGAGCACTAACATCAGTCAACACTGACGAGGCTGCCTGCAAACGAGTCTGAAGACAGTTTTAATTTATCTGCCTCGTGAGCACAGACACCGGCCGATTATCTCTAAATGTCAAATAATTGACCGATTAATCAGTCAGTCACTACTGTATAATATACTCGATGTACTGAGTCTATAAGAGATCTACAGGCTTTCAAATGTGAACTGAAATCTGGACCCCGGGACACTTGGCTGACTGTTTGATGTGTTTTATTTGTGGTACTCGGTGTTATATGTACCCTGGATTCCCTAATCCTGAGGAAATACAGCAAAATGGATTAAACTTGTCATCATAGTAGAATTCTTTGGCAGATTTGCCTTTATTGCTTTATTATAGTAAACATAGTAGACGTTATAAAGCCAGACAGGAAACAGGGGAGTGAGGAGAGAGGAGGGTATAACAGCACAGATCCCTGGCTGGAATCCAACCGGGGACATTGTGTTATGCACCTTAACCATTAAACTATCAGGATGACCCAGAGATGTGTGCTTTCTACCGGACAATGATAGTGTTGTAATGTTGTTGGTGTGTTATGATTTGATGTTTGTTAAATGTGTGAATATCTGTTTTATAGTTTGTCTATCAAAACTATTTTTAGTTACTTTTAGTTTGTACTGATTTATTCTCTTAGATGTGAGTATTTTCCTATTATAATTTAATTTAATGAAATGATGCTCTGTCATCTGTGACATTCAGATTCAAGGTGGTTATACTTTGAGTTATAGTGTAATGTAAAGACTTTGACCTGTTATCAGATGTCGACTCAGGTGGAAGCAGAAGTTCTTCTGGAGAAAGTGGGCAGAGCAGGTGTGATCACCATAAACAGACCCAAAGTCCTGAACGCCCTCAACCTGCCCATGATCCGACAGATCTACCCTCAGCTCAAGGTACGTGGAACGCTTGCTTAATGCGAACTTCAACTGGGGCAAATGTCAAGGCCTCGACTGTGTCAAGTGTTGCTGCGGTGTGTTACTGATCGTAAATGGCTGCCAGTGTCTCACTTAGTTTGACATTGTCAAGGTCTTAATGTTATTGTGAGTTGGATATATTTGTGCATAAACCTATTCAAGACTTGTTAACAGTTACAGACAAACTTAGACTCTACTACACTATTTTACTCCAGACTGCCACAGTTATGTAGTTTTGGGAATTTAATTACTTTAACTTCCTGAAAAACTAGGTTTGTATTCTTCAAACCCATAAAAATATTCCCTCCCATCAGAAAAGACAAAGTCTTCTTTTGTGGGAATGTGAAGGACATCATTGTTGTATCATTTGTGGTTTTGAATTTCCCAACATCCATTGTGTCATCCAGTGTATGACAAGTTCAGCTGGTGTTGTGTTTGAGGTCTCAGTATTAAGTTTCTCTGTTTGGAATAGTTGTGTTTTTTGTTCTGAATGTCTAAACTTTTACAGAAACGGTGCAGAAAACATAAGATTAGTTTCTGATGGATATCAAGGTTAATTAATTGTGTAATTTTACAAAGTAGGGTTGTATAATGAAATGTATGTCGTTCTCTTTATGCTTGTTGTAAAAACAAAAATGATATACAATAAAATGTGTTAGGTCATAATAAAACTGTATTTATTTACATACGATATGATAATTTCCTATAAATTTGCTTCTATTTGTTGTGTGTTTTTATTCTAGAAATGGGAAAATGACAAAGAGACTGAGATTGTGATCATCAAAGGAGCAGGTGGGAAAGCCTTTTGTGCTGGAGGAGACATCAGAGGTAAGCTGTAGCCTTGGATGTTCAGACCGCAGTGCCTGTGTAGCCTCAGTTTGTGTCTCCCGTGTATTAAGCTGCGGTCACACATATGCGATATTTGAGCAGTGCAGGATGTGCCTCACACAGAAATAGTTGGCTGATTTGTTGTTGGTTTTAGAGGCAAACCACACAAAAGTATTTGTTATTGGTTGAGGCTGCAACTGGCAAAGATGCAAATTTGCCACCAGAAGGTTTTATTTGTCCCTTAGCTTTCATAGAGTGGAAGTGAATAGGAGGTGAATATTTGACAGTGTTTTACGTATATGTATATCATACATTTAGGTCACAGAGGGGAACCAGTAGTTTCTAATTAACTGACAATGTTTGAAAAACATAGAAAACACTTTCTTGAATTCCTAAATAGTCTTCTAACCATCTGGATGAAAAAATATTCAATCTGCTAAATGATAAGAACTATTTTGTGTGACTGAAGCTAAAACATGTTGCTTCATTACTGTTTGGACCTGTTTTTTCCTCTCAGCGGTCACAGAAGCAGGGAAAGCTGGAGACCCTCTTGCAGAGGACTTTTTCCGCGAGGAGTACATTCTCAACAATGCTATTGGTAAGCTTTACAATTACATTTATATTTGTTATGCATGGGTACTTAAAGTCATTTAAAGTCTCACTTTATAAAAACCCAGGCCTCCATTTTATCAGTTTGCATGTTTAAACTCAGTTTTCCTTTGTTTTTACACATTTTATTTGATCTTTTAAGGAGCATGCAAGAAACCATATATCGCCCTTATTGATGGAATAACAATGGGAGGGGTGAGTACTTTTACATTTGATCTATTTAAGTTTATATTATAGGTTTTTTGGCAGGTTTGGTTCCTTTGTCAGTGAAAATTGTTGTTCTCTCTGTAAGGTGTGATATTCATATTTACCT